ACTACTAAGGACTGAGCGAAAATTAAGCTAATTTTCTCAAAAATATGAAATTATAATTTTTTTAATTAAAATAGTAACAAATTTGCTGATGAAAAACATGTTGATAATTATTTCTTGGTTCTAGTCAATACTATATACATTTATTCATAAAAACTTGAATTATCTACTACAATGTACTTGTATTCTACTGCGATAACAATTAAAGAAACTCGTTTAGATTGTGTAAAATTCAAAAAAGTTATTTGTATTTTTTTACAATTTGCAGTTAGTTCCTGGTTTATTTTAGAGCAACGAAACTCCTACTATATGAGACAGGCAATTTCAACTCGTTGCGTCCTGTAGGTACAGTAACATTTGTTGAAGGGGCCAAAAAATGTAACAGAGCTATTATTAATCATCTACTTGTGAACAAATATTTTATGTTGTGTTGCAGTCTTTATTATTTTTTATTGTACCTTTGTTATTATATTTTCAGAAAATAAATAAAGTCAGTATGCAAAATAATAAATAGGTAGCTAGGAAATGTAATTAATTAACTTGAAGCATGTTTCGTTAAGATTAAAAATAGTTAGATTCATAACTTGGAATTATAAAATGGCCAAATCCTCATTATTGTCATCCCCTTATATCGACTGTTCTTCTAACAATAAACCACAACAATCGTTTTGTATGCTGCAACAAGCAACTGCTGTTTGAAGTAGTCATTCTCCACAAAGACGAACCATTCCCTTCAACAGTTTGCTTATTTGTCTTTGAACATCTCAGATATGTCTTTTGTCTCGGCTTGGTCGTCGTTGATTTCTTATTTGCTGGTCTTTGTACAGTGTTTTGAAGTAGACACAGAATCATTAAACACCACTCTCAAATGCGTTTTTCTATTTTGATTCTGTTAAATAAAATTGGAGAATCGACTTACAAATTCCATTGGAAATGGACATTTAAGTACATATTTGGTCTGTTTTTTATAATTTATTTCTAGAAACGTTCTTGTTGTTTTTATTTATTTAAAATGATCATTGTCATTCCTAAATTTATATTTTGGGTAATATTTTTTCAAGATTACAACCACTGATAGTGTTTTATTGATTATGGTTAATAAAAGGATATTTTACCTAGTTTAATTTTTTATATTGAAATCCCTTTGTAAACACCCCTTTGTGCATTCTTTATGCTACGATTTAATAAAAAAAATTGTTTAGCATTATAAAATAAAATAAATGAACAAAATAAACCATTGTACTATTTTTTTAATGACTAATGCATTATACTTAGATCATGGTCACAGTTAAAATGTCATTAAATTTCAGGTCATGGTCAATGTTATTAAATCTTTATTAATTACAGTAGCCCTACATGTGAACAATATCCAATATAAAATAAATAAATATATTTGTTATATAACACATTAAAGTTACGTTTTCTCTTTCCTCACACTAATAATTTATGAGTTCATAAAAGATCAAATTATACAAATTGCCCCATTAGTTTGGTATGATTAAAAAATAAGTATATAACCGAAACCCAAGTACTTTAATATTTACTGCAAAACACTGTCAGTCACTCAATGGTACATAATTTTTTATCCTGAAAACTAGTTATAATTTAAACATAGAAATGGGTTGATTATTTCACTTCATATTTGTCTATTGTCAGCGCAAGTATTAAATTCAGTTAAATAACTTGTATTGGTATAGCTTTTTATCTAAAGGAATTTGGTTTGAAGGTGTTAAGGAATTTATTAATTAAACGAACGTGCTAAATTCAATTTAATTATATTTGAACGGACAAGTGTTTCAACTATTGATAATATATCGATATTACCCCAGTTATGAATAATATCGAAGTATCGGTGTGGTGGATGTGTAATATATGCACCCTTCACCCCATCAAGGGCCCTTGTAGGCAGCGATCGCCTACTTTTAGATAACCTCAAGAACCAAAAACTGTGCTAAAATGCAACCTCAATATGTGGAACTGTATTATGAGTAGATTAGAGTTTAATGTGGAATTTTGAAACATTTTATCTGGCATCGTCTCATTAAAACATTGTAATGGTTAGAGTTACATGTTAGCCAATTATAGGGAATACTACTATTACTACTGTAACACTTTTTTTCTTGGATTAATTTAACAAATGATGATATTTCTTAGATTAATAATAAACCCGCTATCACAAAAAAAACATTTGCACACACTTAAATACAGTCTATAATGAAGAAAACAATTAATTATATTCTTATTTCTGAACTTACATATACATATGCAGTATTAAAGCCCAATAAACGATAACGCCAAGTTTCGATTATTTAACAAAGCTACTTCTTTGCTCGAACTGCTATACAAATCGAACACAACTAATGTATTCAGGTTAGAATGAAGATTTTGTTTTTATTGTTTACGAAGCTGCACCATTGACTATTATATATAACTGTACTAACGTGTGATGGGTGGAGTGAATAAAGTATACTTTATCTTGTAGATTCAACGTAAAAATTCCACAAGAAGGCCGGGCAGTGTAGGGCCGATCTGTTTCCATTTTACAGCTTTTCTGATAAAGGGCTCGGGGGAATCGCTCGGTGGCCATAAAACCGGAAATAGCCAATAATGCAGTTGGCGAGATGCCAAGCACTTCCGGAAACAACAATGGCAAGGAAGGGTGCACTTTGTGTTTTTTTGTAAAAGCCGTGTTTTCCGCCAAATGGCCCGGTAGACAAACGTTTATGTGATCCGCGCAGCAGATTACAGGAAATGTGTTTTGAGATACATTTATTTGCTTTCATATTGTTGTGTATATACAGTAGCTTGTTTTGTCTCTATCTAGTTTAATTTAGTCGTGTTGTTTTTCAAAAGCCGTAGTTCACAGCTGATTTAGAGTTGTTCTCTATGGAGTTAGCAGATTGTATTGTGTTCTTACCACTGCGTAGAAATGATCACATTCCCATACCTGTAAAAAGTACGCAAAATGGCTCATTTACGCTCTAGATCGGCAAAAGACCATTCCCGCTTGCTAAATCCAAATCAGCTGATTTTACAGTTGTTGTTTCTACACCTTACATAAACATAAACAAATGATGTTACTGGCCCAAATGATGTTACTGGATCAATGCCGAAAGTTAACATTATTTAACATTGACCAAATGGAACGGTCTAAAACATTTTATGTTAAATCTATTAGTATAGGATTCGGGTCAGCAACGTCATTTGTTCATGTTTATGATCCTTACCGGTTCTGTTCAATTATTTGTAAAAATGTTTAAATGATGGTACTGTATAATTTACCCCATAAACATGTATAACATGGTAAAACTTTTACAAAAAATAACTTCAATTGGTATTTACATAAGGAGTAGGCCTACTACTCCACGGTTAATAGGTTTTCACGCAAGTTAAGCTATATAGCTTTATTTCTCACAATGGTAACCACAGAAAAATAATATATATTATTCGAAAGCCAACAGTACAAGATATTATCTTTGACTATTAATACGTTTAGTCAATGAAAATATGTAAATTTTCAACTAAACTTACGGGACACATTTTTGGGATAAAAATTCAGGTGCTGATGTTAATGAACATAAACCACCGGAAAGTTATTAAAAGAGGTTGTTTAGGTTGGCGACACTGTTTACTGCAATTAAATTTTCACACAACAGTAGGTAGGCCCCCTCCCCCCCTCCCCCCCCCCTTGGGCCTTTGAGCATCGTAATGTTTTGTTTGTCACAATGCACACAGGTTAGTGTGTTTAAAATTTACAACTTTCTGAAACAATGTTGTTTTTCCTGGGAAACCTGAAAACTGAAGTAGAAATGTTAAAAACGCTGCACTGTAGTGTTATTTAATGAATACGTGTAATGTCCAGGGTTTTTTTTACTATAAAAACTGCAAAATAAAAAAATATCTCCAGAAACATTTTTGTATACTTGAGCAAATGTATATGATAAATTCCTTGAATCCGAACTGTTAATAGGTACTTTATCTGGAAAGTATATTAATTTCATTTGGTACAGCCACAGAAAAAAACAAACTCCCTAGTACAGCTATTAAAAAGCTAATAAAACTGCACAGTTGCTCAACAATACAGATATTTTAGCATTTTAGCACACAACTACTGTTGGTATTATCCAACATATTATTCAAGCTTTATTCTGTAGCAGGTGTTTTTCTATCTATACACAAGGGGTGAAGGGTGTAGTCTTGGACTATATAGAACTGTTAAATGTTTTTTTAAGGTTTGGCTTATATGCCTTTAGTAATTTAATCTGGACTCCCATTAATACAGATGAGTGTTGACTTTAACCCCAATCAGTCTATTTAATGAGAGTTAACTCTAAATTTAGACTAAAATAAAGAATTGAATCCAACAAATAAATATTTGTTACCATACAAATGACATATTGCTTTAAATGCTAATACAATAGTCAATAGTAGAGACTGAATCAAAAATGAAATAAAAATAAAATGTCTCTTAATCATTGATCAGATTTGTCTAAAACTGATTGTTAAACTTCAGCCCCTTTATTGATGTCTTGGTCATGGTTTTTAAATATAAAAAAAATTACAGCAATATTTGTTTCAACAGAACTCAGATTTCTTATTTTTACTTCTCTACTTTGTTTGGTCTATGTTTATTGCATTATTTCATGTAACACATATTGCTTGGTGATAAATAAAGGTACATTCCATAATCCCTTACATCCATTGTTTTAGCATTTTCTTGTTATTATGTATAAAGGGTTCTAACATTTCATGTATGGATAAAGATTTAACATTCATGTTCAAATTCCAACATTACCTTACTTTTCCACTGTTTTTAATATTTTAAAGAATACACATTTTAAGTTCTAAAACATGATCTAGGGGTTCCATGTTCAGTGCTCTAACATTGCATGTTTTCCTACTCTTTGGTTAATTATCTAACAATTGTTCATTGTTTCTACATTCCATGTTCAATGTTTTGACTTACCACTTCTATGTTCTAATGTTCATGTTTAATGTTTCAGATGAATGTGGCAAGTGCCGAGCTGGCACGAGGAGGCTCAACCTCAACAAATACTGCAAGAGAGATTATGGTTTGTATCTTTAATACGTTTTCTAGGATTTGATATGTAGCAGTCCAATCCAAACTTTCAACTACTATAAACCAAACGTTTTGAAGTGTGTTTCCAATGTTCCAATGTTGGTCTGTTGATGCAGTAAAAAAACAACCTAGAAAATATATTTTACTTTTGTATTAACATGATTAATATATTCAAATGATGATGATATATTCAAATAACCTGAGTTTAACTGATCATACATACAAATTATACATTAGTTGAGGCAGTGCTTGATTTGTAAAAAACGAGCTGCCGGATCTGTAACCTATTTAATGTGATTTGTACCTATTTATGTCAATATGTCTATCTTCCCGAAAGAGAGGTAGGTACTGAAAATCTGCCCCGAGCACTGAGTGTGTAGGACTTGTATATGATTTGTCAGCTAAAAATCTAATGTTTATTATTGCTTTATTTAGTTATAAAAAGATGAGAGAGATATAAATTGAGAATTTAAGAAGCAGCTAAGAGGCAAGTAGAATATTTTTTTTTCATTCGAACAGTCAAAGAAGAAATTAAAAAATCTTGTAAAAAATACATTATAAAATTGGAAAATCATTCAAATCATCTTGCACTTAATTTATTGGACAATCACAACACCATTTACAGACTGAAGCGACATATAATATTGAACCTCCCATTCAGATTCGGCTAAGTGTTATAGTACAGGTAAAATAAAATAATACAAAAACACTCCATATAAACAACAAAATTTGTACATTCATGAAATTTCACCTGTGAGTTACTAATAATATGAGAAATGAAGATCCGATGAGTCCCCAAAATTTTGGGCGTCCTAAGGCCCTTTTTGGGGCCCTTTTTGTTCCGAAGGGCCCTTGTTCCTGAATAATTTTGTTTTTACGTTTAAGGTCGAGTGAGGTGTGGTTTTCGATGGTTTTAGTTATTTTAAATCGATTGGGAGTAGTTTTAAGTGTATTAAACCACACCATACAGGGTGTTTCGTAATATTATTACTTTTTACGATATTTAAACATTTATTCATAAAGTAATAAAATTAGTTACCTCCATGCTCTATATAAAAGGGGATTATTGAAAATAACTGTAATTCTTTACTATATACGAGGGAAGGATCACAATGAGTAAGAGAAAATATTAAATACCCCCGTCACAGCAAACCTGCAGACTAAGCGAATTTTCATTTGCCCGATTTTCAATTAAATCTAAAATTGCATTGAGTTTAATGAATACTTAGGTTTGCTGCTACAAAGAGGCCAATAAAGTGTTTTTATAGTAAAATATTAATAGCCTAGTATAAAACAAATAAATTTGACAAGTTTGATCAAAATATATCTATTAACAAACAAACAAAATCATTTTACACTATTCTCCTTAAGAATAACATGGAATTTTAAATTTAAAATTTTTGAATTTCATTCATAACTAATACACTTACAAAACACGTTAATATACTAAATTATTTGTTTTCTTTAAGCTCTTTAAAATGCTCTAGAGAAAAATTGGGAAACTTTGTCTTTTGAGGGTCAAAGATTACAAATTTTTACCAGATAAAACCCTGTTCCATGGACCGATTATGCCGGTTTCGTTAAAATTGAACCAAAATTACTCGAGCTATCATGTTTACGGACACGTATATAGCATGGATATATATATGTATATAAACACATATATAATATTTTGAGTGGATGGTGCTTTAGGCTTCTGGGGGCATCGAAATGAAAAGGTAAATCGGTTTCGGGTCTATGTTTTACCATAAGACCTTCGGTAATAGCTTATCTCCTATGTGGGATGTTCGCTAAAAAGGGGTGAATTAAGTTTTACACTATTACATAATAACATAGGTTACTAAGCAAACATTTCAACTTTTAAGATGGAGTGAATAATCTTTCACCGTCATATTCAATCATTCATTGGGTCTGATGATGATTGAAGTGTCCAATCGAAATCGATCACCACTTAACATCTTTTTTGTATATTTACCGTCTTGTGATTAACAGTATAAGCGTAAATATATGTTTTAAGTGTTATAAAAAGTTTCTTTTATTTACCTTCCGTAAATTTAATAACACGTACAATGCTGATCAAGAAGTTATTTAATAATCTTTCAACGTGTTTTTTAAGCAAATCTATTAAGACCAATTTAAAATTGATATGTATTTTTCTTAGGCAGTTATTTAAGTTATTTTTTTACATTTATTAAAAATTAAAACAATTGTATTTGTATAAAACCTTACATTACATATTAAAATGAAGTACTTAAACTAAAGCTTCTACAATTACTACAACTAATTTTTCTACAATTTCCGTAGTATCTCTCTTTACAATTTCATCATCACAATAATTATTCTCAGACGACTCATTAACAATTTTATTATTCTTAGCAACTTGTCCATCTTTACTGATTTTGTCAAAGTTGGTGTTCAAGCAGGATTCCCCTTTACAAACCTAAAACCTTGCATATTGCAGAACAGACAACACCAATCTTAAAGCACGAACAATGTGGTGCAAAAACACCTTTCATACATACTGACGTTTCCAACTTTGTATCTTAATTTCCTCAAACTTATTTTCAATCAATACAAGTACGGTTACCGGTATCTTTCGTGGTTATGACGACCAGGACAGCACTAAGACATCAGAGCAGCATTGTCGGTACAAGCATTTTTGTCCTGAACAATGGGAACGAGATTTATGGGGTAAAAATTGGGTTTTCTTATTTACTTTACCCTCAAAACACAAAGTTTCCCAATTTTTCTCTATAACATTTTAAATAGCTTAAAAACAAATAATTTAGTATATAAACGTGTTTTTGTATGGTTATTAGTTACGGATAAAAATACTAAAATTGTAAATTTAAAATTCCCATGTTATTCTTATGTAGAATAGTGTAAAATGATTTTGTTTGTTTTTTAATAGATATATCTTGATAAAACTTGTCAAATTTATTTATACTATTTATTTATTTATTATTATACTAGGCTATTAATATTTCACTATAACACACTATATTGGCCTCCTTGTAGCAGCAAACCTAAGTATTCATTAAACTCAATGCAATTTTAGATTTAATTGAAAATCGGGCAAATGAAAATTCGCTTAGTCTGCAGGTTTGCTGTGACGGGGGTATTTAATATATTCTCTTACTCATTGTGATCCTTCCCTCGTATATAGTAAAGAATTACAGTTATTTTCAATAATCCCCTATTATATAGAGCATGGAGGTAACTAATTTTATTACTTTATGAATAAATGTTTAAATATCGTAAAAAGTAATAATATTTCGAAACACCCTGTATGGTGTGGTTTAATACACTTAAAACTACTCCCAATCGATTTAAAATAACTAAAACCATCGAAAACCACACCTCACTCGACCTTAAACGTAAAACAAAATTATTCAGGAACAAGGGCCCTTCGGAACAAAAAGGGCCCCAAAAAGGGCCTTAGGACGCCCAAAATTTTGGGGACTCATCAGATCTTCATTTCTCATATTATTAGTAACTCACAGGTGAAATTTCATGAATGTACAAATTTTGTTGTTTATAAAACCCTATTTTACCTGTACTATTATTAAAATTCTCTTTGTAGCGTAGCTAGTGTCAATCACTAGCTCATGTTCTTCAAGTCAATGTTGTATTTTTATTTATATCATTTGCTTATTGTTCAACTTGAACAGATTGTAAATTAAATAAAGTAAAAAAAAATTTTAACTAAACAAAAAATCATAATGAAGAACAGTTGATAACTGAAGGATCAACACGTTCGCTACTGAGCGTCGCATATATGCCACAGACCGAGGTATACATTTGATTCTTACACGTAGACGGGCTAACACTTGGATAACAGTACACACAGACCACGGGGGAAAACCTGTAAAATAGTGCTCATTTACATTGTAATACGCTACAATCGTGTTTGTAAATAATTTATTTGTTCTTGTTTTTTTTTTGTATTTTTTATAACCTTTTGTAATGTCGCATATTTGCGACGCCCGGTCTACAGCGAAGACAATAGTGAAAATTATCATAGTTTGCTTGAAATAGACCAAACGTTGCATATATGCGATAGTTCATTTTTGTTTGTGTTTTGAGGTGAAAGTAAGTAAAAAAAAAAAAACAGATTATTCAAGAACAGTTTATAACTGAACAAATATAAAATCTATAAAGGATAATGCAGCATACATACTGCATATATACATACAGTGGATGCAGAAAAGTAAAGACCAGTTTTTCCAACTATCATATGACATCACCAATCATCATATCCACAGACCAAGCGACACAGTTGTGCGTCAGACATCTCTGTAGACCACTGCAGGGAATTCAGTGCCTTCAAATAGACCGTTACAAAGATATAAACATTTTAATAACATTAGAACCCCAACGCAAATACGCGAGTCTATTTTAATGTGACAGTCTATGGGTGGAAACCGGTCGTCGCATATGTGCGTCGCTGGTCCATGTGAATGAAAAAATTTATACTATTACAGTAGCGAACGGTTAACAGCTGGTTAGAAGAATAAAAATTCAAAACCAAACATATATAAATTTTTGATCCTCCGTTAAAAAAACTGTCTTCCTAAACGACACTGATTATAATTGATTGCATCATCTGTCAACAGCCATCTTGGGTAAGGTGGTTGAGCGAGAGACTGTCGATGACTGGGTCAAGTTCTCGCTGACGATTCAGTCAGTGTTCAAGAGGGCGCGAGACTCCAGACTGCGTCGTACCTCCACTTTCCTGTGGGTCCCACTCAAGGATCTGGCCTGCAAATGTCCCAAGATCAAAACTAACAAGTAAGTATCTGTGTCAGTAAATGTTTGAGAGAGTGAGGTGTCAAGCTTCTAGACTTACCAACACAGTATGATCTGCCTAACTGACTGTTCCCAAGTTATTTTCTTGAAGCAAAACTGTTGGCGTTAAAGAACCACCAAAGATAAGTACAGAGGAAACATTCAATGGTATAAGTGGTGTCTAGCACTAGCTGGTGTCTAGGGTTAAGTCCAACACCGCCTCCTTGTCCCTACTACAACGCTCAAGGTGGAGAAAGACACTGTACCTGTGTGATAGGAATTTCCGCACAGTGCTCACCACTCAGACTCTTCCTTGCTCTTCAAAAGTATATTTTTTAGTCAAACATCTTTGAGCTGAAAGCGCACAGATATCCTATAAGTTTCCTCTGTGCCTTACTTTCTGGAACCACTTGCGCAGCGTTTTTTTAATCATTAAAGGAGATCTAGAACTGGAACAAAGCTCAGTAACTGGTATCTTATCTGGGGTGCAATGGGATGAGTAATATGCAAAAAAGCAGGCCTAGATTAGTTTTCATCAAACCGTAAAATTGAGGTTTTACAGCTTTGACTGGCAAAGTCTAGACAAAGTGGAGAACCTGAGGATTGAAAACATGTAACGCTGTTGCTCAAGTGGCAGCAAAGACTATCATTCAAAGTGATCCTCAAGGTGATTATTCGGCAATTTACTAATGACAAAACCCCCTATTGTTCCAAACATCAACCAATCAATACATGCTGAGTGGCTGAGTGAATATAGTGCTCGCTTGGTAATCAAAAGATCACTTGTTTGATCCTGAGAAAAGCTGTCCTTGATCATAGGGCTTTCAATAAAATGTCCTGGCTAAAGGATCAGCTGATAGTCCAGTAACAATGCTTTCTTCTCATTCATTCAACACTTCATCGTAAAACATTGTATCTTTGTTCATCATAATTTATTGTAAATACAAATCCTGGTTTGTCAGCATCATAATTTCATATGTTGATAACAAACGGTTTTAATCTTCTACGCCTGTTGCAGGTCCTACCTGATTCTTGGCAAAGAGAAGGAGGGAGAACACACCGGCCTGACGATCACCCAGAGATCCATCGTCATAGAGTGGAAGGAGGAATGGAACAACCGCATGAGGAGGTTCCAACGACGCTCTCGTCAGTGCAAATAAGCGAACTGTTGTTAGTTGGTTGTCGATGTTTGAATCACTGTCAATCTCCGCGGGGATTACGAGAGTGAAAACGTAGGTTCTGTTTGTACAAGGTGTTAGCTGAACTGAGGGATATAGATGGTTTTTAGTTGGAACAGCCAAAGTATTAGTTCAACTTTTTTCAGCCTAAGCATGATCAATCTTATGTTTTTAAAGATTTTAATTGTAAATTGAATTGTAATTTTTTATGTGATTAACTAAGACTTGGGTAACAATTTTGATGGGTTTGATGATAAAATATAGTTATATTTACTGATAACAATGTATTAGTTACGTGTCATATTTATGTCAGGACGTTTCATAAACGTTTCTTAAAATATGGATACAATTTTTTATTGCTCCTGTATTTATTTAAAACAAGATTATACTAGCTGTGTCTAGCTGGGAAAATTAAATTTTTTCTTTTAAAACAAAATTGTGAGTAAAATAAGGTTTATTTTTATATGTTTTTAAATGTTTTGACGTAAAAAAAATAAGAACAGTATTGATTTATTTTTAGAACACAGATTAATTTAGCTGGTAATATAAGTTAATTTTATTTATATTTATCCATGTATTGAGTCATTTTATATTCAACAAAAGTCACAAATCAGCATCCCCATAGGTATCTTATTATGTAGTTTGGCTTAGGACTGAACAGTATTTCCAAAAGTGTTTGGGGTGAGTGATAAAAAAATAATCTGTACTTTGCATAATGTTATGAGTGGAAGAACACACGTTTTATCACTATTTGACCGGTTTTGTCAAATTACTTATAAAAACTATTAAAGGTTGTGCCAATTTAGAATCATTTGATGTCCCATGGTTGTGTCTATGTTAGGTTTAACATATTTTTGCTACATGATGCTTGACAAATGTGGTTTTGGAGTTTCAAAATGTTTTCACCATATTTTCTGTCATAAACTATCTTTTAACATATCATAAAATTTGAAAGTTTCCAGCTAACATATCAACGTTTCCATTGCCAAAAACAATTTTTATCACTTCAAGAAAGTTTTTGAAAATTCCATATTATTTTTTACAAAGTGAATTTTCCATCTAACTTCTCTTAAATAAAGTCCAAGCAAATTTTCAATTGTTGAGTTTTAAAGGCTGAAAATAACCACTGCAGAGTTTTTGCGTATGATTGTAATTATTGAATGTATCATATTAACAGACTGAGTATATAATTTGCCATAGCTTTAATATATTAGGTGAAGCTAGTTAGGTAGAGGAAGGGATTTACCTTTTCCTAAGGCATTAATGTTCTTGTACATTATCGTTTATCTGTAGTCAGTTGGATGAACTGAGCCAAAGAGTTTGAGCCGTAAATATATTACAAGAATGAAAAATTATAGCCGATTTATTGAAAAATTTGAATAAAAAGCCTGACTGTTCTCAATGAATAAACGATTTATGAAATGTACTAAGCAGTGAACAAAATTATACAGGTTGTAAAGTAATATATTTACGGCTACACGTGTTGAATCAAGTTTTCACTTAGAAACTCCTTACCAGATTGTGTATATTTTATTCTTACTGGAATATTATTTTTCATTGTCAACCGCTTATTTGTTAAGGTTTCAAAGTTTTCAAAATTTTTATTCATTTGAGAATCTCCTTTTAAAAATATTCCACTTGACTAAATACCATAATAGCAAAATGGAATCACAATTTTAAACTAGTGATATGTATAATTGGTTGTCCATAACTTATTTATCTGTCTAATTTTCCAGTATCCTTGCACCTGTATTTAGCTTTACAGTGGATAAGAACATGTTTGTATAATTTAGGTTAAGGTTTATTGTACATTACTTCTTGATTTTGTATATTTTCTCAAATGTTTAGCATGTAATTAAATTACTACTTAGAATTTCTTCTGTAGCTGTTTAGCTAGTTCCTAAAGACATTTATTACAGATTATTATTTATTACCCGTTTATATCCTAACAGTTAATGTGGACTTTAAATGGTGATAATTTCAAACAAATTTATAACTGTTACTAAATAAATAGTGCACAATATATTCAACTGGTTTTTAATTTACAAATATTATATTGGTTACGTTTAAACTTTTTAACAAAGCTTTTGAAATTTTGTTCATCTGAATGGTTGTAGAGATTATTATTTGAAATGGTTTTTAGATTGTTACTTAATTTATTACAGTAGATGCCAGGAATCTGCTTCCAGTGTATTAGCAATATTAGAGTCTCTATGTCTAAATGTATGTGTGTATTGTATATTATGTCCTTAATTTATTCACACTAACTCGTGTAACATTATTTACATGTTTTTACGATATTGTAGATGTAATATATTATATAATAAATGTTTAACTAAGTTCTGGTGCTCTAATTAAAACTTCACCTCAAGTCAAAGACTAAATTTTTAAACTTACTGCTGGCGACAAGGGTGGTACCATGCATTCTACATTATCATCAAAGAAGATAAACATGGACAACCTTATGCGGCTATAAGTCAGGAAATGTTTGTAGAAAACACTAAAAAACAATATCAGCTTATTAAATATGATAAAGTATATACAGGAAATGTTAATTGTATCGAACTATTATTCAGTGGCGGATTGCGACCTCAGCGGCCCCTAGGCACATGTAAACCTAGGCCCCCCCCCATGGGGGTCATTTCAGACTTTTAACTGGGATGGCAAGATCTACTGGGGGTCCAGGAAAATTTTTAGAAACTGGCTTTAAATTTGTTAGTTTTTTTAAGCTTTTTCAAACTATTTTTACAACAATTTTATTTTTATTTTTCTGTCTGCGGCCCCTAGGCAGTTGCCTATCATTCCTAATGGGTAATCCGCCATTGTTGTGAGTATTTCCATGAATTACACACCGGTAATCTTTGAGTTGACTCTTTTAAACTAATCGTAAATAAGACTGTTATTCGCATTGAAATAACTTCTGTAATACTTTGCAATTGCTCGAATTCCAGCAACATATACACTAGTTTAATTTTAAATGGGAAACATCACTGTAATTTTGAGAAGACTCCATCTTGTTTGTAATGTATATCTACCAGAATATGACTCAAACTCTTTAGGTACATGTAAAACCTACTAATGTCAGGGTATAAAATATGCAATAGTCAAGTGTGGTTCCTCTTTTATTATTCAAAATCCGGAAACTTACAAACATTGATAGTTTTATCAAATAATTCCAGATATTTCATTCTAAGGTCTACGATTAAAATAAAATGCAAAGTGGCTCAGGTCATATCCACGATTCATTACTGATGAAAAAAACCTTAAAAATTACTTTTTTAGCAAAAACAAAGTGTTTTAAATTGACAATAGCATAATTCCATGGTAAAAAAACCCAAGTGATCCTATGCTTCTGTCAAAGCTGTTTTGTTAGCAAGAAATTTAAACAGTAAACCACAATATAGAAGGGAAATTAAGCATCAAGGTGGCTTAAATAGTGGTCCAGTTGCCAGAAACTTGATTTTTTATTAAGAATCAAATCTATATTTCATTATTAATAACAATGATAGTAGGATACAAAATTAAATTTAAAACATGCACTTCACAGTATAATCAATGGTCAATTCGCAAAAATAAATTGCAATAAAATAAGTAACAAGGGGTATCTTTTGGATTTTACAAAATATCAAAACTATTTGATTACTTGAAGGCAATGACTTTGAGTGTAATATAAAAGCTCAAGTTTGGTTGAGGCAGTGAGATGAAAATTGTGCTAAATTGAACAGTTTGTAATTCTCCTTCAAGAAATCAACACTTTTTAGCGACTAAACTTGCTAACTGAGCCACATGCACTTAAATATAGGCACCATACAAGAAATCAATTCATTTTACCCTTTAAACTAAAACTAAAATCACATATACGTTAAGCAATTGAAAATCCTAGCTTTACATTAACAACGTTATAGTATCATATAGCAAGAATATATACTAGTACAACAGAACGGTGACCTAGACGTTCCACCAGATAGAGATGTTAACAAGAACAAGAACAAATACTAAGATACTATAGTTATCACAGTGCTATCAATGATAAGATTCAAAATGGCTGCAAGTTCATATGGCATACAACACACATCTAGACAACAAGCTATTAGTGGGAATGACAATAAAATAGAAGAAAATCAGACTACTGTGTTGTGAAAGTGGTCAGTTATCTTGCGGAGTAACTAGCTATAAAGTTTCTTAAAACCAAAGCCTACGAAAGTATGATACTCGCAGAGAAACTATTTATCTACGCTTAATTAAAAGATCTCAATATTTAATGTGTCAGGAAACCCTAAGAGCTATTACATGATCGTTTTATACCTACTTTCGACTAAAGTGTAAATTTTATTCACTTCCCGGAAAGAAAATCCAGCAACTCACTAAATTAGGAATTTCATCCAACTTACTACGTCACTTACTAACCTTTTCAATCTATTGTGGACCTACAGAAAAAATGTTATAACTGCTTGTACAATCTAGCATTTAATTGCTTATGACTGTGACAAAAACCTCCGTTCAAATTCCTTAAAACAAAGAATATTTGGTGTATTGTATAAGCTAATCTAACCATAAAGCTTACATGCTTGTACAATTTTACATAAATTGTATTACATCTAACATGCTGCTCACAAAACTGCAGATCAAAATGTTGCGATGTACACAAGCGTGAGGAAATACTGGCGGATTACTTTATGTTACAGAGAGTATGTTTATGTTATACCTAGATGAAAACTTGGTACTCCGTCGTATGGTATGTACAGTAGGTTTCTTCACTACTCTAGTATAGGTATACGTTTTGTGTGCTGGGTCGTATGTTCACAATTAAATGCATCTTAGGTGTACAGCTTAACCTTTTATTATTTTCTCACTCAAACTTCAAACAGTTTTTTTCATTAGAAGAAAGTTCGTTTTGTTTCCCAGAAGTTGAAACAGCGAATAACCACTCATGTTTTCTTCACATACAAATAAAAGTGTAAAAGAAATAAAGTACACTATAAAATCTTAAAAATTGAAAAAAAAATTCTAACTGAAGAAAAAAAAGATATATAAAATAAAAACCTCCATTTTAATTCAATGTGTAGCACAATCATCTTATATTTGACCTTTTATCTATCCTAAGTGGCTATAGATATATTTTGATACTTTGACTAAAACCAAAAATAAAGCGTTTAAGCAAAACAATACAAAAAAGGACAAGGACAATGTAAAAGAAACATAAAAAGCGAAATAAAAATAAAATTTTAATTCAATTACATTAGGAAACTATGATCACAAATTTGTTTCTATTATATAATAATGTTTGCTTATTCTAAACACAACTCATGATCGGTTTTTGGCATGGGTTTTGACAGCGATTGCACCAGCACAATTATGCAATCAAAAAACCCCTCTTAAAACTATCATCACTTAATTAAAAATACAAATTTCAGCATACATCACACTAAGTAAAAAAATACTCAAATTTCTTAAATGCAATTGTCTTTTAAACCAAAATGCATCGATAAAAACAAGTATACTTAAACTATCAGTAGGTTAGAAAGAAAACAAAATTAAAGAAATAAAATTTAATAAAAATATTTTTGATACTAATGACAATATCGAATGTTACGTCGTAAGTAATTGTTTTCATTTAAATGAGCACGAAAATGGTAATTACTAAAATCACAATTTATATAACATCTATAAAAGAACATAAAATAGACAAAACAATACACAAAGCTGCTAGTACGATTAAAAAATACAAAATTCATACAGGACACCCTGTTGAAAAGCTAGAATAGAATGACTTGGTGATGATTTGATCAAAGATGAAACAGTAAGGAAACTGTGGGGAGGGATCTGGAATGTACATTTATGGCGCTGTGTAGTTTTAAGGTTGGGACAGTTGGTACTATGTGTGCTACACTACCAGGGGGAGGAACGCTAGGAGGGAAACATAAGTACAAAACATTACACGGACAAGATCGAATCAACTTAAAAACTACTAACCCTTAACTAAATATATACAAGAGACCAAAGTGTTGACCGTCTGAATCGTATTGCCGTTGTGGAACTTTAGTTAAGTACTACTAGAAGGAGTCATTGTTAGGTAGTTAAATTGTGTAAATGTTGTAGAGAGTCTGATCATACTTATAAGACTCTAAACACAAGTAGTATTTTTTGTAATATTAAATTTTAATACTGTACAAGTAAAATTTTTCTGAAAAAAATGTCAAAAGAACAATGTTTAGCGTTATATCTGACACCTTATCAATACGACAAATGAACTATAATTATGATTAAATTAAGGAAGAGCGATCCCAACACAAAACTGTTTAGTCAACTTTTTGAAAGAGTTGATTGGTGTGTTGGAAAAAATATATAATTTTGATGTTTTTATTTATGTGAAAGAAGATGCAACTCTTTGTCTAAGAACTCTGTAACGTCTAAGAACTCTAAATTTTTATCCATACACATATACAATTTATTGCTAAACACATTAAAAAAAGGTTATAATCAAGTCATTGATTGACTTATTGCAAAATCGTTGTACCCAAGTAGTACAATCTTTGATAACTCGTATGGTGAATTACAGTAAATTTTCTTCAAAAACTTTCGAGTCCACATTAGAAAAGCTAAAGAGAGTTTACACGATTCCACCATTATAACAGCCAAACAATTCAAGCAGATTCAACACTTTAGTCTGCGTCAAAACAAATCGATAATTAAAACTATTTAGAGTAAAAACAGAATAAATAACATTGTATGTTATGAGGGTTAATCTCGCCTAGTCTTGCCTCTGGGAGAAGTCTGATGTCATACGAAGTCCATCGCACTTTTGGGTTGTCGCAGACGTCGTTCACACGACCTTTCAATCAGCTTCTTGATCTCCGAGAAGATGAACACTGTAGACGTCAGTGAGACGAGAAACACTATATCTGAAACAAAATGTGTATTGTTGAAATGAAACCTGTCAACAGTAGTAGGAAAAACATAGGTTTGTATTTTTTATGATTCTGTTGGGTCTACCTACAGTCAGGACCACGCAAGTTTGCAGTTGAGGGAGGAGCCTATTTACCATATGGTTTTGAATAAACCAATGAGAACCGTGCGGTGTTGTCAAATCTAATAATACCAGCTGTTTTGAAAATATTGCTTAGTATATTTTAATGTTAATGTTATATATATTTAATATATAATGTTAATTAGTGTTGTCAACGGGCGATGTGGCAACGTCGCACTAGCCTTGTCTTATGATTGGCTGCCACCAACTGCATACGTACGTGGTCCTGAATTTTAGGTATAATCCTAGTGTGCAGGACTGACACCCACTAAAACCCTATTGGTCCAAGCAATAGAAGACCTCTCGGAAACGCTGATGCAATAATACAGTAGACCCTTGATAACCAAGTGTCATTTTCAAATCCCCTAGAATTTATGGGGGGGGGGGTCAACCCTCAAACCAATCATAATGGTGGTAATGTGGCTCTGAGGTAGTTACTTACCTTGCAGCGTGAGGGCTTCAGTCTGGAACACGACCTGTAGAGGAGGAGCGTAGATCACCAACAGCTGACCAACCACAGAGAACATGACAGCCAACAGGAACATGCGGTTGGTGAACAGACCAATGGTGAACACGGACTTTGTCTGTGAACAGGCACATTATAGGACTTAACAAAGTCAGACATAGACACTTTGCTTGGCAATAGACATCTTGCTTGACATTGACAATAGACATCTTGCTTGACAATAAATAGACATTTTTTGTTGTGTCAGCATATTGCTCAGATCGCAGCGCAACTGGTACCGTGTGTGCTACAGGCCTGTTAGAGGTATTTTTTGTACATTTGTTAAATGTTAGTTTGAGTTATGTGTTTTGACTTTGACGGTATTGCTTTAGCTAAATCGTGGAAGTGGTTGAAGATGACATTGTTATGCTAGATCTGCTGTGAGACACAATTTACAACTATATTTATTATTTAAAGCTATTTTTTGGAATGGGTAGCCTCCGGATTATCAAGATACAATTAAAGTGGTTTAAATACCTGTAATGTCGACAATCCCAAGTGGTTGTGAAACAACTAGTTTCGGCTCATAACGGAGCCATCTTCAGGTTTTCCTTTATTTATAAGGCAGTCAAATCAGATAAACAAAACGTGCTAAACGACAAGCTTTCATTTGCTTCTAACTTTATTTACAACACCACAATAGAAATAATGGAAAGGGAGAGGGAGAAGAATGATACCCACAAACAACCTGTTACTGATAAGACGCATCGACCATAGTGCCCGGAAGTCTAGACGTAAACTCCCGCCGGTCACGTCGTTAAAGCTAGGCCTAGGCATGCGTGTTACGTGTTTTTTAAATGTTTTTAAATGTATGTAAATTATTTGTGAACTTTGACGACCTTCGGAAGAAGTGATTATGTCCTTGGAAAACCTGAAGATGGCTCCGTTATGAGCCGAAACTAGTTGTTTCACAACCACTTGGGATTGTCGACATTACAGGTATTTAAACCACTTTAATTATTTAAAGCTGTTTATGAAATAAAGCCTCATTTTAGTTATAGCTCAGTCCAGTAACTAAAACATAGATTTTAAGACAATATTTTGAATTAACATTATCATTGAAAACAGTACAAGCTTACCTATTTTTTAATACTAGTTTCTAATTACTTCTAAATTTCAAAGAATCTTTAAATCCTCAATAGCATCTTAAATTTCACTTTATGTTTAAAACAAACCCATTAGCCTTTCAATTACCAATCAGAGTACAATTACTGAGAATTTATATTTTTAATTTCTTAATATATATAATTTTCTGCTTAGAGATAACAATGTTTGAAGTAACATTCATACTTAATTCTTTTCCTCTTAATTTTATTTTTACAATTTTTACTGAAAGTTTTTAAGTATATCAGATTTAAAAAGATGAAATATATTAAACAGTACCTGTGAACGGCAGCTTAGAGCGTTGAACATGTCAAAGAATACGAAACATGTGAAGGTCATTGTTGTATCTCTCGGGGTGATAATGTTGTCACTCATCTGAGGGAAAACGAGAAGCTCTATCAGTATTAGTAATTAATTGTTGTATAAATTATATCTATAGATGACTCTTGATGATCCAACATGGGACCGGGAGAGTATCAAATTACCAAAAATGTTGCTGAAATATCATATTTTTTAAATAACCTATAAATAAGCTAGGACCACTTGGTTGCTATATCAACTTGATGACCTAATTTTGTACACTTTGAAAGAGTTCAAAATAATATGTTGGTATTGCGTACGTCTACTTTTATAACATTAATAATATTAAATTAAATAATTCTAACCCTTTAATAACAGTTCTCTGGATGTTAGCTGGGGTAGGGTTCTTGGAGAATTGTAAGCATTTTCAAGGAATTTCTGATTCTTACAACGGTCAAATTAAGCTTAATGTTCATGAATAAAACTGTGAATGTCTAAAAATCCTTATCTGATAGAAATAGTAATATTCTGAATATGCCTGAGCATTGGCTGTCAAAGTTTTTAAATGTTTCCTACTGACCAGTTAAAATGCTCTCAAAGAGTTACCAGTGAACCTAGGTTAAGTCCTTGCTGAAAGACTCTTTTTGATGAAAAAAGAGTTCATGTAGTGTAAGACTCTTTTCTACTCCTTTAAGTAGAAAAGGGTTGCTCTTTACTAATCCTTTACTCTAATCCTTTTTTACACCATGAAAGACTTCCACTAGCACTATATTCTGTTTTCATGGTCTGTAACTTCAATGTGCTTTATGTCTCAATCATATATTTGATTTGATATTTTACAGTAGGCATATACATGCTGTATATTACTATATTAGTAAACTGAAGATTCACACACTACTGTACTGACCTCTCGCTTGAAGACCCACAGAGTGCCAAAGATGATGATGGACGCAGAGAGCAACACGTTAGTTATCAACTGACGAGTGATCATTGGTTCCTTGGGATTACGAGGTCTCTGCTTGACAACGTCAGAATCAACGGGTTCAACTCCCAGACTGTTGACAAAGTGGTGGGTTAAATGTTTTAGCAAAATTGCTTACAAAAATCTGTAATTTAGAATGTCTTTAACCTCAGGGACATTTTAGTGAATAGTATGACACCATTGTACTTTTGAGTGACAAACCAAAACAAAATATAAAAAAAACCACCCAATCACAAATATCTTGCCTCTTCATATCACTTTGATATTGATGTTCACCTTGTTTGGAAATTTAAAAAAAACTTTTTAATATGAAAAAATATTGGACATTATGCTAAGAATAATGAAAACCAAAAATTGAATATCCTGAAGGAATGTTAATAGTTAAGTTTAAACTGAAACCCTGATTTGAAAAAGATTACCTTGCCTAGATCATTATTCAGCCAAACGGAACCCTGTCTACTAAAAGCACACTCCTGCCACTCACTAATTTCCCCCTAGATCAAGTATACTGCCCAACTAAAATAACAGTCTTCTGTAAGTCAACACAAGTAACGTAACACCACTTCCAGCCTACATCACCAAACCCTTCCTCTTTACAACTTGGCCCTCCCATTAGTATACTAACCTCTGAGCCGGAGGGCCGTCCATGATGATGTTTATCCACAGGATCTGCATGGCGTTGAGAGGGTTCGGGATGCCCATGATGGTAGCCAGCGCAATGAGAGACAACGCAGCAATGCTTGTACTCAGCTGGAATCTCACAAAGTTGCGGATGTTGTAGAATATTGCCTTACCTTCCTCAATAGCAGCTCTGCACAGAAAACACACATTACTGTAATGCATTTCCTCTGGTGATTTGATATTAATTAATTAAATGTTCAGCCAAAATATTCTAGTAAAACATTCTAAAAAAGTAATTTACCACTTCAAAACATTAGAGTGTTACACTTAAAGTCATTACAGCCCCATGAGTCATCATATTAAACAAAAGAATTTCTGAGCAAGAAAACCTTTTTGATTTAGATGAAAAATTCAAAAGGTTGGCAAAATGAGGAATGAGTTATTGGCAAAAAAAATATATGAAATAAGTGAAATCCATTAAACAACCACAAAAATCAAAACTAAAAACATTGAATACACAAGAATCTGTGCTCACATGATCGTGTTGAAATCGTCGTCCACCAGTATCATGTCTGCTGCTTCCTTACACACGTCTGTGCCATTCTTGCCCATCGCTATCCCAATGTCCGCTCGCTTGAGAGCTACTCCGTCATTCACTCCATCGCCAGTCATCGCTACTATCACTCCTGCCCTCTGGAACGCCTGTTGACAAACACCTTATAGTCATCTTATTCAATCTCACTCTCTAAAATGAAGACTTGCTGGTGGTGGTCTGCAAACCAGACATTTTTACTTCAGGTTAGGTCAGGTCAACAATTTTGGCCCTCAATTTTTGAGCCAAAATCGATCTGCTTTGGAAAGTATTGATAAAAAATTAATTGTAATACTACATTACTTTTATACATGATATTTCCCATATCACAGCGAAATATTGAACATCTTCTGCAGTCATGGCAAAACCGTGTATGACTTCTGCAATCATTGTAACATTTTCCGAGCTCACGGCAAAAGAAAGAACTTATTCCGCAGTCACAGCTTAATCTTGAATGTCATCCACGGTCAGGGCAAAATAGTAAATATCTTCTGTGGCGACATCATCATTGTCTCCTATGATTGAGGCCAACCCGTAAACATCTACCACAAGTGTGGTGAAATGGAAATGGTTAGTTTTCTATCTTCTATCTTTGCATATGCTTTATGCGATTTCAGAAATAGAAGATCGGCTCGGCTTGATCTAACCCAAAAATTATTTTAAGCCCAAATTAATATCTTGGGCCAAATTATGGTCCGACCCCACGGAAAAATATCAGGGACTGGAAGAACATTACTTGTGGAGCCAGTTAAAAGAGGAGGCTCGAAAATATTGGGAAATAAATTTTCCAGAGAAGGAATCTAAAATAAAGACTTTTTAAAGCGAGATTTTAAAAAGTTTTGGAAAATCTAACATGCAAAGAATACTTCTAAGACAAAAGACACGAAAATGTAGTGAGGCATGTATGAATATTTTTTATCATTTTAGTTAGGATATTTTATTATAGTTGATTTAAAAAAATCATACTACAAGTTTATGAAGTGTGTAAATACCTTGACAATGCACAGTTTGTGTCTGGGAGTTACTCTGTAGAACACAGTGACATTGCCCACTATCTGCTCTAGCTGATGTTCTGACATCTGGTCTATCTGGTCTCCACTGAGCACCTGTCCATGTATAACATCCAGTCCTATCATACTGGCTGTAACATAGAGTGTCAAATACAGTGACAATGCACAGTTTGTGTGTGGGAGTTACTCTGTAGAACACAGTGACATTGCCCGACATCTGGTCTATCTGGTCACCACTGAGCACCTGTCCATGTATAACATCCAGTCCTATCATGCTGGCTGTAACATACACAGTGAGTGTTAAGTAGAGTGACAATGCACAGTTTGTGTCTGGGAGTTACTCTGTAGAACACAGTGACATTGCCCACTATCTGCTCCAGCTGATGTTCTGACATCTGGTCTATCTGGTCTCCACTGAGCACCTGTCCATGTATAACATCCAGTCCTATCATGCTGGCTGTAACATAGAGTGTCAAGTACAGTGACAATGCACAGTTTGTGTCTGGGAGTTACTCTGTAGAACACAGTGACATTGCCCACTATCTGCTCCAGCTGATGTTCTGACATCTGGTCTATCTGGTCTCCACTGAGCACCTGTCCATGTATAACATCCAGTCCTATCATGCTGGCTGTAACATAGAGTGTCAAGTACAGTGACAATGCACAGTTTGTGTCTGGGAGTTACTCTGTAGAACACAGTGACATTGCCCGACATCTGGTCTATCTGGTCACCACTGAGCACCTGTCCATGTATAACATCCAGTCCTATCATGCTGGCTGTAACATACACAGTGAGTGTTAAGTAGAGTGACAATGCACAGTTTGTGTCTGGGAGTTACTCTGTAGAACACAGTGACATTGCCCACTATCTGCTCTAGCTGATGTTCTGACATCTGGTCTATCTGGTCTCCACTGAGCACCTGTCCATGTATAACATCCAGTCCTATCGTGCTGGCTGTAACATACACAGTGAGTGTTAAGTACAGTGACAATGCACAGTTTGTGTCTGGGAGTTACTCTGTAGAACACAGTGACATTGCCCACTATCTGCTCCAGCTGATGTTCTGACATCTGGTCTATCTGGTCTCCACTGAGCACCTGTCCATGTATAACATCCAGTCCTATCATGCTGGCTGTAACATACACAGTGAGTGTTAAGTACAGTGACAATGCACAGTTTGTGTCTGGGAGTTACTCTGTAGAACACAGTGACATTGCCCACTATCTGCTCCAGCTGATGTTCTGACATCTGGTCTATCTGGTCTCCACTGAGCACCTGTCCATGTATAACATCCAGTCCTATCATGCTGGCTGTAACATACACAGTGAGTGTTAAGTACAGTGACAATGCACAGTTTGTGTCTGGGAGTTACTCTGTAGAACACAGTGACATTGCCCACTATCTGCTCTAGCTGATGTTCTGACATCTGGTCTATCTGGTCCCCACTGAGCACCTGTCCATGTATAACATCCAGTCCTATCATGCTGGCTGTAACATACACAGTGAGTGTTAAGTACAGTGACAATGCACAGTCTGGGTCTGGGTCAAAACAAGGCTAAGTTTACAGATTATTACAAGTTCTGGTCAAATGTGGCCATTGGCCAATAATTCAATACACATAAGGTCAGTATCATCGATGTGTCGTAACTCCAGAAAAGATTTAATTTCTAAATTTGATCATCGGGATTCGAATCTTAAATATTAGTATATATTTAGTTACACTTGTCTATTTGCCCGTGTCACCCAAAATCTGTGTTTGTTCAAAGCAGTAAATGAACGAAATCAGTATGATCATGAACTCAAAGATTGGGCAATATTTGAGAAACTTTTTTTATCTTGTGATGGAGTAAAGATTTAGGATTATTTTAAGGTTGGTAAACTTGCTACATGACAGGAAATAGTTCTTAGCAAACCTACATGCTATTTTAGTAAACTACTCTATTCTCCCAAACAAGCTGAAACCATATATTTTTGGAAGAAACTTCTACCTAATTTCTTATAGTACATATCAAGTTACCAATTGCCACAGCTGTCTCTTGCGCGTCCCCAGTCACCATCTTGACCTTGACCCCACTCTGTAGCAGCGTCTGTATGGACTCTCGTACAAAAGGTCGTGGAGGGTCACAGATGCCCACTAGCCCCATGTATACCAGATCTTGCAGACTGCTACCTCGTGCCAGCCCAACCACTGCAAAAAGAAGTGACATGTAGTGATGTAACTGTGATTATTGATTGAAGCAGACGTCTGATACCCATGTTAGGTTGTAGCCAGTTTTACAGCAATGGAGTTGAGCCAACAACAAAGTGGTCTGATGTCGATAATTGATTTCTGTTGAATATGCAAACTGAAAAGATAAATATCGTGCTGACATATCTGCTCATGTCCTAACATCAGCAAGCAGTCCTAACAGTATTAGTGAATTATTATTGGCTGGTTGAAAAACCAAGCCATGAAAGCTTACTTTTACCAAAACCTTAAGGATTATATTGAATTTTGACTGTACACTATTACAAATCTTGGAAATGTTTCAAAAACTAGGGAGAAAAGGTAACGTATGAACTATATACAGCATAAAGCTAGGAAGGTTTTGAGATTTTGAATAAACCGTGGAATAAGCCGCACACCTATCAATCATACTTAAATGAAAGGTCTTGATGTGAAACTTCCCTGAAAAATGTCAGTTTTTCAATAAACCCTCTCCTAAGGGCAGGAATTAAAGTAGTTCATTTTTAATCACATTTTTAATATTGCTGTTATATTTGTTTGTGTTTTAATTTGTTTTTTTACTTTTCCTTGAGTTAACCTTTTTATTCTACCATCGATTTCTGAATTGCATCAAGAGAAGTCACAGTGCGTTATTCTTATAATGTGGGATAGTGTTCAAACCTTTGAATCATGTTTCAATTGTTTACTTATTAGTTCAGCATTGTATTAAAAGAAAACACCCCTTTGGCGTTGCAGACATATGTTGTGTACATAATTAACTAATGCAAGAACCATTGAGTTTGGACAGAGCCTTATGTTTCCAACTGGGGGAAAAACACATCTTTAGAGTATTTTTCCTTGAGACATGGACATTGATAAAAATAATTTACATCTATACCAAGCACGTAATCAACCAGAAGTTTGCATTGGACAAGGCGGTGAAGAATCACCATATCTTCTCTACCATTCTCTTTCCGTGACGAGACACAGGCAGAACAACTAGTCAAGTATCAACTGGTATGCTAGATCAAAGATAACCTCTTATCTAGTTCTATAAGCTAGACAACCCACCTCTAAGCCCCTTCCTGCCAATCTCGTAGGCCTCCGCCAGATACTCTTGTTCCTTCTTGACATTCAGAGGCTGTGTGGTGCCATTGCTCATGTACTTGGTACACTGCTGAAGCACCTTCTCTAGAGCTCCCTTCACAAAGAAAATGTCTTCCTTGTTCTGCAAAACATCAACAATTTGAGTCTGGAGATCCAAAACAAACTGTAATTGGACCCTGATGAATTCATCACTATATATAATTTCTTTAAACTGAAACCTCAAGAGACATTTGGTCCCACAAGAGTCTGAGACAGGGGTATTTTATTATTTTCATAACTTGGATACAAGCTTAGATTCTAAGCTTTCAATAAGCAAGCATAATTATATCCAAATACAAATTTGTTGTACATTTCTTAACTAATAGTTAGAGATTTTCCATAGTGTTTTATATTATTTACAAAGTCTTACTGTAGAAATACTGGTAAAAAATGTTAAATTACTTTGGCCAATACTTACATCGTCATACTTAGGCACCACTTTGACTGCCATCATCTTCTGTTCAGAGCTAAAGGGATATTCCTGTAGCCTCACATACTTCTCCGCCACTCCATACATGTTGTTCTGACAACACAAAAGTGGAACAATATTATTGATGAGACTACTCATCATCACACCTAACAGGATAAAAAAAATGTTAGGTTAGGTTAGGTTGGATTAGGTTAGGTTAGGTACCGTTCTGTACTTTAGGTACAGAAACAATGTGACTTGGCAGGAAAAGCAGTCAACGGCAGTTTTTAAGAGTTTTAGATACTGGCAGGACACAGGGACAGAAATAATTCCCTTTTTCCCCAGTCCCTAGCGACTACCTGGCCGGGCGCTAGGGGCAATTTCAGCATTTCTAGTCTTGCGAGGCGACCCTTCCTAATCCTCTTTAATGAGCAGGGCAGTTTCATGTTTCAAAAGTACCCAAAATGTTGGGCCAGTTTCACTATGCCCCAAAATATGTGGTATGCAGCATGCACAACAATCAGAAAGTAGTCAGGTAGGTGCTTAAAGCTTGGCACGTATCTTCCGAGTTCACAAATACGGGTAACGATAGGAGTTAGATGTTCCCCCCGTTGTAACGTCATACCACTTGGAAATAACACACAACATCTTGGTACTCCATATTCTAAAGGGAAAGTATAACATGGAAGGTCGGATACCTGAACTGTTAATCGAGACTGTTATTTACCTTATTTGCTACAGCTAGAAGAGCGCCTTCCGTCGGTTGACCGAGCAGCGTCTCTCCGTTGATCACAGCGTTATTACAAACACATCCAACCTGGGACAAAAAGACACTAGTTAAATCCACAATACAAGGATAAAACAGCACTTACTTAGGCACAATACACGACAAAAATAAAATACAAGAGTGTGATGTTGAATGTTGGAAAAAAAACTTTGGTGGATGTTGACTGTGATTGCTTAAAAAATTATGACCCAATCCTACTAGTAAAACCATAAAATACAGGGTGTCCCTAAACAACCTCTACCCCTTTTATGAGATTGTTTCTTGCATATAAACAAACAGATTTTGCAGTATAACCGTGAGTCGCCCATGCCTCGTTTTCGGTGTATCTGCTTGTATGTGTTTCTTACAAATTACCTTATATAGCTTTTTAACGCTTCAACATAGAATCTTTGAATCTGATACAGACATGTAAAATTATGTTACAACGGAAAAAAATGTTCTATTTTTTTACAATTTCAAAATAGCGATACTTTAAAATATGACATCAAAAAATACCTCAAGAAGCCTGTAGATGGATTCACGAGCCTTATCCACGCTGTCACACTTGTGGATGTGGATCTCACCCTGGTCATTGTATCCAGCGCCTGACACCTGAAATGTAACGGAATAGTTTCAGATCTGTGTCAACACACAACGAAGTAAAGCTTGATGTCAATTTAAATAACATAGTTAAGCTATATTATTTTTCTTAAAGAGATTGGGGACTTATTTGACATTGCTTCTATCCATATAGGCCTCTGCCTGTCTGTAGAATGTATCTAGCAAAACAAGGGGTGAACAGGTACAGTAAAAGAGCTAAATGTACTGTTATAATTTAGTGTTGGGCGCCAAACAGGAATCCACACCATCGCTGCCATGGATCAGTAGTCTGTTATGTCTCGACTCAGTTATATTATATGAAAAATAATCTGGCAAATTTGTGAAAAAATTTTATTTCAAAGACAACGTTTTTTAATCTAATCGATTTAATTTTGAAACCCTCAAAAAGCAAAAATAGCGTAAATCTTTTACAGTTTTTGAATATAGCTTCAACAACAACATTAAGGAGACACACATAACATGTATATTTATTTATTTTTAGTAACGGTTTATGAGCTTGCGGTTCAAGTCTGACGAAAATGTGACGATTGCTAGTGTTATTTTGAGAAGGGTTGATTACTGGCCCATACCAATTTACTAATGGGCTAACTAATGACGTTGTCAAAGATAGTAACAATACTTGAACTTGACCACTTCCTAGCAATAATCACCACCGGAGTTATGAGTAAATATATGGTTCCAGTGAATACCTCAGCCAAATGTCCATCAGCTGTGACTATGACAGTGACAGTCATCTCATTCTTGGTGATGGTCCCAGTCTTGTCTGAACATATCACACTGACACAACCTGTAACAACAACAAAAACTGTTGTAAAAAAATGGGATTCAATCACTCTTTTTTGGCTATTTTATATCCAGAACTAGTATTTGAGTCGTTAGGTGTTCGACACATATACAGGATGGAAAGTAAGTTTTTCCAACCCGAAAGAAGTTTGGGTATCAAAAACGTGACAATATATCTAGCAATATGTTTAATTGCCTGCATTTTTCAATGTACCTGACAACTCCTTGATATACATAAAATAGCAATAAAAAGTGTGTGAAGGCCACAAAAAGAGTACCAATAAAATATATCTCTGATAATTCTGTTTGTCTGTTATGAAACAGATATCCACACTTACGATTCACATTATACGATTTCGCTCGTACGAGTGATAATCGTACAGGCAGATGATTGTGGGTCTGTTGCTTTCACACTATACCATTTGTAATCGTAGGATTAAAAATCTTAACCTCCACTCCACTAGAACAGAGTTCATTGACACTTCAGTGGAAAGTGTTAAGTAGTATGGATCGCGAGCAAATTATTGCTGCTTTGATAATTTACCGGCGAAGAAAAATAAAGAAACTTGACTGTCTCCACTGGGTGCATCCAATAAATTTGAGACGTGAGGAAGTGGCAATGTTTAAAACTTTATTTCAAAGCCATATGATCACACGGTCCACTAGCTGTAGACACGATTGTTACTCATACGGGAGTCGGATACCAACCGTAGTCACCTATGGTCGCTATGCGGGTGAAAATCGTACATGATTTGTAATCGTATAATGTGAAGGGGCCCTAAGCTCCAATGGTCGACTACAAATACGATTAATAATCGCACAAGCAAAATCGTATAGTGTGAAAGGCGCGTTAGATAACTACTGTATGATGATTAAATATGATGACTTTCATACCCAGAGTTTCTACGGTGGGGAGTTTCTTGATGATTGCTTTTCTCTTCGCCATCCTCATGACTCCCAATGCCAGAGTGACTGTGACTACGATGGGAAGTCCTTCAGGTATAGCTGCTACTGCCAGACTGTTAACACCACATTCATCATAGTATAACACTTAAATTAATAACTGTACAACAAATAATATGAGACAATTGAGTATTATTGTCTATTTAATGGTTGGTAGTTTCAATTTCATGAACCTAATGATGGTTTTGTGTTTGTTATTTCATTCCCTGACAGACAACAAAGGTCTTAAGTGTCACCGGTCAATCATCAAAATGTCCCGCGGTCACAAGACCATCGTCAACATGTCCTGTGTTTGCATTGCCATCATCAACATGTCTCGCAGTCATGTTGCCATCTCCGACGTGTACTGCGGTCGCGGAACCATCATTCAACATGTCTCGCAGTCTTGGCTGCAGCAAAAAGATATCCCTCAATCACAGAAATATCATCATCGTCTACTGGGTTCATACTGGGGCAAGTGACGATGATGATATCTCCCTAATTATCTCTCATAAGCGCAGAGACATTGTCATCATCATCCGGAAAACCGGCAACAACATCATCATCACTTGCGACACGGAAAAAATCGCCAATCGGAATTAATCCCGCCCCAAGAAAAATCGCAAATCAAATGTAATTTTGTCCCGATGATCGGGATCATATTTTTTCTGAAAAATTCCCAAAATTTCGGGACCCGTCCCTCCTAATAAGTGCCTAATAATAAAAAAGGATTATTATTGTTTTAGAGCAAAATTCCCTCTTTACTTTTTGCAGAATTTGGCTCCACCCACAAGACCAGGAACACCACCAAGATTGGTTGAATACAGTCATACAGTATAATACCCATATCTAACATCAAACTCTCTGAATATCTGTCTAATCACAATCCAGCGAAACTAATATTGATATTTAATATGAATCATGAGCATTTCTGTGTTACTCTTTTTACCAAAATGCATGTAGACTCATCTATGAGTAGTATTTAATTGTAAGTATTGCATTGGCTTCCAATACCTTTTTCCACACTTTTTCTTATATTTTTTGTGACCATCCACAATAAGGTGCTTATCAAGGAAAATGAGTAGTAAGGTATTTAGTTACAACGCTTATACAAACTCTGAGTAGGTAATTACAATTTAGATAAATGACCTTACCTGACACCAATAGTGAACATTTCTAGAATAGCCTTTCCCTGAAGCCAGCCGATACCCATGATCAGGCCAATAATACAGAAACTGTACAATGAAAGCTGTGTACCCAGGATGTCCATACTCTTCTGTAGTGGTGTCTTGGGGGCCTCCTCTGCCTGCATCATCTTGAACACCTCTCCGAACTCACTTTTCTCCCCAGTGTTGACCACGAGACCCTACACACACACACATCAAACACACTGATGAGACGGAAGTTAAAGTTTGTCGAGGTCACCTTAGCTACTAGCATCATCATCATGAATGATTTAGAATGTTAATATTTTACAAGCCACCAGTTAAACCAGAGTATCCATATAATCAATCAATGAAGTTCTGCATGATGGTACTTAACAATATCGTAATCGGCTTTTTCCTAACTTAAAGATTCAACAACAAAATTCACTGCTCAATCCAGGTTTTAAACTATGATTGACAAAATCTACGGCTCATTTGCGGTTTAAATGGTGTTTTCACAGTAAAGTGGATATCCTAGATTATACCACAGAAAACGTACTACTATAACCCAGAATGCCAACCGCATGGTAAAAAGCATTAAGCGTTTTGAGAGAGCTTTGCCTGTCAATCCGTAGGCAGCGCCACCAGCGTTGCTATGCTATTGCATGGCAACGCTGGTGGCGCTGCCTACGGATTGACAGGCAAAGCTCTCTCAAAACGCTTAATGCTTTTTACCATGCGGTTGGCATTCTGGGTTATAGTAGTACGTTTTCTGTGATTATACTTAAATATATAAATAAAGAATCCTCTTTTAATCCAAGTTAGCAACTCTAATTCTACCTGAAGCTAGGTTCAAATAGGATTGGTTGATCCAGGGCTCTGCAAGACCCATATAATTTTGGGTCCAGTCAGGCCAACAGTGGGTCCAAGGGATCGGTTCGGGGTACAAATTATTTTTTGGGCCAATATCAGGTCAGTTGAAGCAGAGCTAAGCTATTATTTTCGTGATTGCAGAAACCCTCTGTGAAGATACACAATCGGAAAATGATGGTTTACCCCAAATTGTTCACGATTTTTCTGGGATCAAAATGAAGATGTTCACAAATTACCTGCGACCGGTGAAGGTGAAGATGTTCTTAATTTAGCTATAATGGCAGAAAATGTTTGTGATTTAGGTAAAATTTTTACCCGATCAAACTCTTTCTTAATCCTTGTCAGGCCTATGATTTAGCCATGACTGCAGAAGATGTTCCAGAACTGTAAAATAAACAATGTCTATTTACCTTGCCGTTGCCACATCGCACCAGTGTGCCCATGAAGGCGATGTTCTTCATGCTCGAGTGGCCGTTAGTCTTGAGAATCGGAGCCGTGATCTTGGCGGACGGCTCGGTCTCTCCCGTAAAGCTGCTCTCATCAACAGCCAGGTCAATTGCCTACAAAAGCAACTTCTTTAACTAACTAACTAGGTTACGTTGTGATTGTATGTGTGTAACAAGAGTTATTTTTTTTAATTGACATTTGTTTTTATTGTATTGTTTGGGTATGATAACATTGTTTGTTTTTGACTCTATTTTTGCAAACAATCCCATACAAAAAATTCACATGTCAAAAAGGAGGAAAAAATTAAGAGACCATAAAATTAAACAGAGTATCAGAAAAATAGTATAATTTCTAGATACTAATTATATACATTAATTTAATGAGGATATAATTGTTTTCCAAACTCAATGATTTAAATATGTATCTGACTGGTTTATGCAACCTAAATATTTGTAAAACAATTTTTTCTAAAAAAAAAGGATAGGCCCCCTAGCCTATAATTTTTTTTTTGGTCACTCAGATTATTTTATAAGTTTGGCTTAATGAGGTCATGTTGCTGTTATAATGTGCATGAGTACAGGAGAATTTGTATTTAATTTTTGCTTACTTGAAAATAAAACAAAGGTGCACAATTTTTAACAAAATATATACAAATAGACTACTGTTATCAATTACTACTAATTACACATTCATTCTCATTAATATTACAGATATTGTTTCCTAAGAGAAAGGTAAATGAAACAGATGTTGTACAGTACTAACTTCAAATTGTCAGGATTTTTTGTATACTGTTTAGAAATCAGTCACATTTTATTCAATTGCTACATTGCAGGGAAAATGTGAGGCATACTAATTTTGATGGCAATTAATTTTAAATTGGCTAGATATAGATTCAGATCAACAGGGATGACAAACTGAACATTGGATGAAAAAATCTCTTGTTGTTCATCTAAACCAACAAAAAAACTCTCTCTACTCATCTTGTCTTCAACCAATAGCGTCTCTACAGATTGAACCAATAAAGTAATCTACTTTGCTCAACCCTGTATAATATCTTAGAGAGGTTAAACCAGTGTAAAGATAAAAGATTGTTAAGACTACTGACCTCAAACAGTCTGATGTCAGCAGGTACGCGGTCTCCCACGTTGAGATGGACGACATCACCTGGTACTAACTCTCTGGCAAGAAACGTCTCCAACCTACCTTCCCTTAGACTGTAACCACCCAAAACATATTTTGTTACAAATGGTTAGATTACAAAACCAGACCAAACAGATATCCCTAACAACACAACACACGAGAACCCCTGTTACCCAAATTCGGGTTAACCGAACCCCTGGTTAACCGAAATGGTCCCATAAAATAACACAGGGCTGTAAAATGCTTTAGTAACTTTGGTTATTTAGTTTAAAGTATTTTCTAACCCATTGTAACATTTTTGTAGCTGAAATTAAACACTGAATTAAATAAACATTGTCTTAAATTCACTTTTCCTACACATCGAGGTAATACAGTACATTGGCTATATTTATCATATGATAGGTTAACCGAAAAATTGGTTATCCAAAACGGCTTTTCCCCTTTTAATTCGGTTAACCGGGGTTCTACTGTATGTCTTACCTGAAAATGAAAATACAAAAATAATTAATACGGTAAAAATAATTAACCCTTTCAGTGCTATGAAACGATATATCGTTGTTTTAAAAAGTCTCTAAGGGATATAGAGAGGAAGGTTATTTTAACAAAAAGTAGCAAAACGGCCATTGGTGACCTGCATGTTCATAGGATACACTAACAACCACTTAGCTAAAAGATTCGCCCAATCCGATGATTTTGAGGTGTATGTCTAAACCAAGGATTATGAACACCTCACTATGCCCCAGTGGTTGTAGTATATCGCTACAAACACACAGGTTACCAATTATTTGCCACACAGGACGGGAATCGAACCCGAGCAGACGAATGCCACTGGCCAAGTGACATACGCCCTAGCCTTCTCGGCTATCTGTGCTTGAAAACTGAGGAGTCAAAAACCGGTATTTAAGCTGACGCCACTGATTACGAACAGATAGCGCTACAGATGGTTGTTCAATGTGTTACTAGGTAGCAGCTAGGGATGGACGGGTCCCGAAATTTCGGGAATTTTTCGGGAAAAAAATATTCCCGATTATCGGGACGGGATTACATTTGACTCGGGAATTTTTCGGGACGGGATTTGGTCCGATCGTTGGCGATTTTTCCACTTCGCGAGTGCCGAAAACGCCGTTATTGCGAGCGATAGGTCCGCGAACGCAGAAGACGAAGTCATTTCGACGATCGCGCCGTGACCGCGGAGTCATAACGACGATCGCGCCGTAACCACGGAGTCCTACCGACGATCGCGCCGTGACCGCGAGTCATGACGACGATCGCGCCGTGACCGCGGAGTCATGCTGACGATCGAGCCGTGATCGCGAGTCATACCGACGATCGAGCCGTGATCGCAAATCATACCGACGATCGCGCCGTGACCGCGAGTCATACCGACGATCGCGCGTGACCGCGAATCATGACGACGATCGCACCGTGACCGCGGAGTCATGCTGACGATCGAGCCGTGATCGCGAGTCATACCGACGATCGCGCCGTGACCGCGAGTCATACCGACGATAACCCCGTGACCGCAGTCATACCGACGATCGCGCCGTGACCGCGAGTCATACCGACGATAACCCCGTGACCGCAGTCATACCGAAGATCGCGCCGTGACCGCGAGTCATACCGACGATCGCGCCGTGACCGCGAGTCATGACGACGATCGCGCCGTTACTGCGGGGTCATGCTGACGATCGAGCCGTGATCGCGAGTCATACCGACGATCATGCCGTGACCGCGAGTCATACCGACGATCGCGCGGTAACCGCGAGTCATACCGCCGATCGCGCCGTGATCGCGAGTCATGACGACGATCGCGCCGTGACCGTGAGTCATACAGACGATCACCCCGTGAGTCACAAGTTACTATAGGTACCTGTAAATTGTTACCCATTTTTTGGTTTTTATAGATCAGTGCTACAAAAGGTAAAAATTTATTTCGTATGTCTTTTTTGGTAACTGCAATACAGTACTTTCTTTTTATGCACAGAAAAAAATCCCGTCCCGTCCCGTCCCGAAAATCGGGAAGGAAATAAAAATCCCGTCCCGTCCCGTCCCGAACTAAAAATTCAATCCCGTCCATCCCTAGTAGCAGCACTAGTTAGTCACAGAGTATTTAGATGATATTTTTCAGTTGAAACACAACAGTGATCATAAATGTGTTCCTGAGACTTTGCTGCAAAACATTATTTTCCCTAAAATGGCTATATTACGATAACCTCGTCCAACTAAATCAAAGTTAAATTCAATATTACATTGTAAACTATATGTCTTTTGATTTTATGAGATTTTGGTTTCAAACAATGCTATCAGAACATAAAAATGTATAGGAAAACCAGGAAAATTACAACAAAAACTAAGTTTTATTTCATGTTTACTACAAATACCGGGATTTATCTTTGTTATATATTTTCTTATTGTCTTATTATTCAAAATTAGCCTAATTAATAAAATAGTGACAACATTACAGTTAAAATTCAACAACAGGTAATGGAATTGAAAGGCAAACAAAAAAGTCTTACACAATACGAATTATTGGTCTAGCACTGAAAGGGTTAATTAAAATTGGGTCTGATGATGATTGGAGTGTCCAATCAAAATCGATCACCACTTACCATCTTTAATATGTATTTATCTTGTGAGTAAACAGTATAAAAGTTAATATATTATTACAAGTGTTATTTGATATATTTTTGTATTTTCAGGTAATTTATTATAAAGTACGATGCTGATCAAGAAGTTATTTAACTATGTCTTAGCATCTTCTGCTACCCATTCACAGTTTTTCTAACTTCATCATCTGCCTTCTCACTCTCTTCTTAACATTCACCTCATCTATCTACTTTCTTCTAAATCTTCCTCAGGATCTCTATCTCTCTAACACGACCACCATTTTCAGGAATTCTTTCTCCATGTATGTCCAAACTGTATTGGTATTATATTTTTACTGCCCTCCTTAAGCTATCTTAAATTCCCTCTGATGTTTTCAATGCTAACCCTATCCTACATTATTTAGCTCTCAACAGCTCCACAATTTATTTCTGCCTGTCTGTTTTCAACATCTTTGTTACTTAACTTAATGAAAATTACGTCATGGAGAATTCATCTATCTTTATCACGTCAATAAAAGCCAACTTAAATACAGTGGTCATCACATAACAACTTAAACTGTTATTTAAACTTTCATATTGCTTATGTAGGCAAAATACAAACTGCAAATTTAATATCAAAATTTACTACAAAAACAAATTTGAAATAGCAACTTGTCGAGGAGGTAGGCTAGGGTTTTTTTTATTTTGCAATCTTTTATAACTAACGCCTAACTGTTGACTATCAAAGGTGATTCGATGTTGATATTTACCAATGGCATGTAGGTGGGACGAGTTTCGTCAACTCTTCCAGAGATTTCTCCGACCGATATTCCTGTACGAATGCAACGTCACAACAATAATGATGGCCTGGAACATGATAAGTACGTGTCATCTAACCAGAAACATACCATGAAACATTTACCACGGAAAAAACACACAATTTATTAAAGAATACAATGTTATGGTGGTAAATTTTATAAAACTGATTACACAACATTTGCTATTATGATTTTCAAATGCACCCATTCACATTAACTTTGTATACTATTCAATAGCGATTAATTTTATTCTATGACACAACTTATTTAATTGTACTGAAGAAATATTGTAAACTAAAATTTAGCATTTGAGATTTCATTCTCCAACCAACGGTGTTTCTTAAGGTGGATTTAAAGAACCAAATGTTGTAATGTAACGAGTGCAACACAAGTAAATGCAATGAAATATATGCAGATCAACTCAAAACATTTCTCTGCATTTTTTTCAACTCCTATCAAATTTCTAAATAAAATCCTACACCCAGTAATTAGGATTGTTTCAAAGCATTCTAATGTTTGACAGAATCAAATAAATTAATATAATACCATAAGTGAAAAATGAATAAAAATTATATGAATAGATTTTGCAATAGTTACGGTTTTTCAACCAAGTGTGGTCTTTAAAAATTTAATTGATAGATAATTAATGACGCTTCAACTGTAATTTTAACTACAAAGCAACAGAATAACACTGAGTATTAGAATTTAGGATGAAAGGATAAAGCAAAGAAAAGCTTTTGTGACAGTTCCCCAAGAGAGATTATCTCATCTACAAACAACAATGTTGAATTTATTTCACCTGCAAAACTACCTCGCTGCAAATAAAGTCTCTTTTGACAACCGGAGTTGCTTTATAACATACAACGTTTTTTGCTATGAAGCAAATGTTCTGTTGTTATATTTGTCAATTTTAATTTCAGCATATATTTGCACAGTGTGTCATATTGTTTTGTTTAAACTACACAGTGTGTTAAGTAATAGGCTAATCATAGAGGGTTTAAAGACATTTTATTTAACCAGATTATTATTTTTATACTACCATTGTGGCTAAATATCCTTAGCTAATGACTTAATCATTTTATCTTTAGGATAGTCTAGACGTCTAATTAATAATTCAGTTGACAAAGCAGTTGAATGAAAAACATATTCAAGTTTTAAATCACCCAATTATCCCGAACACTTCTTCTATAACTGGTAACATATATTATAAATAAAAAACATATTATGCTGCTATAATTCTAATTTTATGTTTAGAGTAAAAGTTTAACTCTTTGAAAGTTAAGCTGATTGCAACATAATCGGAAATGAAACCAAATGTCAAACCGGGATTTTTTTACCTTGTAATTCTAACATGTCTTTGAAGCTTAGTTTTCCCCACCCTTGGTCCAATGTTGCTTTCACTACACAATTTGAAACCACAATAAACTGTTTTAACCATAAAAGTCTAAGTATAAAAATAAAATAGATCTGTTTAGGTATGTATTTAATATGTTTAATATGTTTTTAATTGGTTTTGCATATTTTACAGGGGTGTGGCGAAGAAATATGATGTAACTTACATAACAGACGTACAATATTTTATTATTATATTTCTGTTAATTAAAAATGTCTAACTGTAAACAATGACAACCAAAAAAGGCTTGAAGGAATTTAAGAGAATTTGGTATGTCTTCAAAAGCTTTAAGGAATATCAGATTTGAGAATTCCTATACTCATTTTTAAATACACCTTTTATGTCTTAATCTTAGAAGCCTATAACAAAGAAACGTAATATTTTGTACAAAAACACCAACATGTTGGTAGTAAATCTTAACTATATGCACATTGAAATACTATTTGGGTGTTTAATTCCATGATGCCATTACTTGAGAAACTTTAACACTATTTTTAAATATTTTTATTACACGTAATACAAAAGTCGGGTACTTACGACAGTGATGCTAACAGCATCGTCGAGCTGCCTCATACAAACACTCACTAACGCAGATGCAAGGAGAAGAAGAATCAGGGGGTTTTTGAACTGAAACAAGCATACACAATAATTATTACAGAAACAAACAAATAACACGTCCTGTTTTCATATTATGTAAAAGATGTATTCCAGACAAACCTACATAAAATAATTTAAAAGTTACAAGGTTTTATTGTGTTATTTAGGATTTCCAAACTCTCTTTGGGATTTTAACGGTTTAAATACTATTGATTGATACGATTTCTGAGATGGAAGTTTCTAAAAGGTGCATCAGAGTACTTTTGAAGGATTAGAGTATTGAGTGGATTATAATCAAAGTGTCAAAACTAAAATTATTACCATCTAACATATTTAAAACACAGTTACTAATTTTTAACTGTGTGTACAAAAAATAAATTTTTTATTGTAACGACACTTTAAAATTGTAGTAGAATATTGTATAATATTTCATATACACTCTGATGAGACATAAATGTAATTACAACTTTCATAATTGGAACAATCAATTAAGCAACTTCAACTTGTTGTTATCGAATTACACTAAGTAATAAGAACACTTTTTAGCTTCAAACTACTTTGTTAACTCTTCCAATTGGTGTTACAAAACTAACTTTACTGAAACTAAGCAACAGGATGGATAACGTTAAGCAAATTTCAACTGCTGCACTTTAACACAGGTCTTATTAAGACGTAACTTCACCGGCCTCATTATTCCTTGGAGAGTTTTCTTTTCCACAGAGAAAAACTTTTACTTTGTGTTATGAAGCTGCTAAGGTTAATAGAAATTTGTTCTTTGTCTTGATCTATATGTTTTCACAATGTAAAATTTAACAAACAGTTTGTAATGAGAAAATATGATATAATAGATTATTATAAAACTTTATGTACCTTTTAAAAATTAATTTTAATAATTAAATAATTTATTATATTATACAGAGAATGTTTGTAATTAAATAATTTATTATATTATACAGAGAATGCAATGCTTATATGGTTTAATTTATTTGACGGACATATCTGGGAATTTTGATTAGTAAATTATGTATCTTGAGCAGTTGAGTATGACTTATTTCCTTTATTTCTAAAAGTGTTATCTTTATTACTATTACTTTGTTCAATTTTTTTATTGTAAGAGCTTTTTTTCATTAAGTACTAATGGAATAACAATTAAATGAATAACATGTTTTATGACAAACAAAAAATGTGGTCTCTTCACCCTAAGAGAATGGTTATTAACCTACACATCCAATCTTATAATTTGATGTGTATGTTAGTAATTGATACTAATAAATAATAATAGTGGCTAAAAAATTTTTCTATAATAGTATATTTTATCACTAGCAAGTAAGGTGACTCTTTTTGACCCAAGCTCAAGTTTTAAAAACGAGGCAAAGCCGAGGTGTGAATAATCCTTCAAAACTTATTGAAATTCTCAACAAACAACAACTATTTGCATCTTAAAGTTTTTAAACGTTAAATTCACTATTTTGATGTGAAAAATAAATCAAAAAAGGCAAATAACGTTTTAATATGTAAGTTCTGGGTGGCTAAATTTATTACCATGATTATTGTTGCATCAATGATCCAGGCTATAGAAAACTACTTATGATTCAGAGAGGAAGTCAACTCATATTTCTACAGTGATGAGTTTTCTACTTAAATAGTTATTTTAGCATGTTTTATTAATTTCCTTACCGTCTACAAGATTGTTTTTATCGGTATCCACCAATTTATATTCTTTAGTCGGATGCATTTTCTTATGTTCTTAAACCTCTTGAAAATTGACAATAACCCGTTGCAGATTGTTCACGAGATTTGCAGTAAAACAGATAAATTTTACTAAACATACTGAGATTCTAAGATTTGCTGTTGGAGACAAAACAGTATTTGCGATACAGCAAGCCCTCTTTTAACCGAACCTTGATTGACCAGCACTCAAGTTGACCGCCTCTGCCAGGACAGAAACAGGTCAGTGTATCTGCCTTTTAGGTCAAAAATGGCTGGTCTTTTTCAATCTCTTAGCGTCCTTATTGCAGTAACGTAATAAAAGAGATGTGTGTCTGTTCAGGTTTATTTCTTATGAACCTGACATTTTCAAGTAAATTTTACAGCATGATTGTACATAATTGATCTTGTAAATAGCTTTATAAACAAAGTAATACTGTAATAGAGAGCTGGTTTAGTGAGTGGTAAAGTGTGGGGCTTCAGTCTCTAAGGTCCCGAATCCATGTGTAAAACGTTTTTTAAGAGGTTGGTAGCCTCTTTTACCCTTCCACATAGTGCGGGTTTGTGTGTGAAATGTACTTGGCAAAGCAAGAGGTGAGCAGGTACAATACAAGGGTGAACTGTACTGATAAAAGTAGTGGCAGATACCAGGATTCAAAACCACGACACCTCCTCATTGGGCGCAAAGTCTGTAGCGCTACCAATTTACCATACTGCTGCGGAATAGAACCTTGCATTGTAAGGTGGAACACATTAATTTCTAAAACATTTTACATGTTTACAAAGTTGCATGTTTTAACCAAACTTTAAGCTTCTTGAACTAAGGCCCGGTCGATTGAAAGAGCTTCTACTGTACATCTAGTAGTCTACGAGTCATTCCAACTGTACTGTCAAGATACCTGTTCAATGTATTTCTTCCACAGTGGATCCTCCTCCTTGACGCAGAACTCGTTGTGACCAGCCAGCTGTCTGCGCAGTTCCGCCTCGCGCCACCACAGGCCGTTGCGCAGGTCCACTCGGAGCCGGGCCGCCACCTCCTCCGCTCCCAGCGTGGCCGCCTCTGTCGTCCCCAGCCACATCTCTTCCTCTGCCACCTGTCACAAAAAAAAAAAACATCCACGGTGTTAGACGAGAATTGAAGCTTAGATGGTGTGACGATTGCTGTAAAAGATTCTTGAAACGTACAATTGTAGTGTTTGTGTCGAGTAGAGTGGCTTTGAGACCATAGCTGGAATCTTAAGAAACTAGATATGCAACTGGATAAATCACTAACATTTTATTCAGAATATTGCCGATTAGATCCAGAAGAAAGAAAGTATATATATATCACACTCTAGAGTTATCAATACCTCAGCTGTTTGCAGTTTCAAACTGTTGACATAGTGTTACATGTTTTGAATTCTATGCCATTTTTCAGAATTTTACATAACCATCTGCTAGTGATTCGTTAAAGGCTCAGATTCGCAAACATAATATATACAATGAGAATTGTGTTCAATGCAAATTACAATTAAGATAGATCCATCACTGACATTCCATGGTCACGAGTGTGAAAAGACTGCAAGAAAAACATTGAAGTCAATGCAGTGTGTCCTTGCTATTAGTACAATGGTCAGCTGATTTAATATTATTTGAGAAAGAAGGGAGGTAAAATATAATTTGACTTGGAGTTTTTCATTTAGTAGGATTACATCAAAATATTCTACCAAGTCCACCTTACTACTTTTTTAGCGAATTTCCCTATAGAAAAATTTTTAAATGAATTTGAATTTATATAAACAAACCATGTAAAGATTTACATTATGGTTCTTGATAAAAATGAAGTAAGAATAAGAAAAAGTAGTCAAAGGGTATGACTCAAACTTGCAACTGTGTATACATTGGTACCACATGTGGACTTGATATTCCAAGAAACCACGCCAGATCATTCTCACGATTACGTACGTCATTTGTATTTGTAGATTACTGTCATCAGATTGTAAATGTTTAAGTATAAACATTGATTAGTATATAAAGTCAATGGTATGAATAAATGTTTGATAACATACAAACTAGACTTTCTAGTTTCTTCATCTTCATTGATTGATTCATTGATTGTTCATTGATTGATTCATTGTTTTAGTTTATTGATTCATCTACATTTAATTGACTTTGATTTCTGAAATTTCAATAGGAATTTTAAAACATTAAAACCGTTTACAATTTTTTATTAGATCTAGACACACTCTGGAGTGAAGTGCTGATAACTGAAGAGATTGAGGTTAAGCAATGTCAACAACATCATATAAATTACACAGGGAAATTGTGGGAAATTATATTTACCTATCCCTAGTTGATATAAGTTCAGTACTCATATCTAATATATAAAATTCTCGTGTCACAGTGTTTGTCTGCAAACTCCTCCGGAACGACTTCACCGATCGTTATGAAATTTGGTGTGTAAATTCTGTAGGTATGCGAATCGGACGTAAACTATTTCCCGTTTCGAAATTCTTAAAAGGGCTCCGCCCCAGTGGCTCTGGAGTTTCCCATGTTAACCTTATGAGAAATGGAATTAATGAATCTTAACAGCTGTTTCAATTAAACAAGTTGGTTCTGTTCTATGATGTTCAATAGCATTAAAGTTACAAGGATTACCAACAGGGTGCAGCACTATTATTTCTTTTACATTTATGACAACAGCTAATTTGCAACCAAAAGGTGAGTGAGCGTAGCGAACGAGCTCCAACCCAAAGGTGAGTGAGCGTAGCGAACGAACTTCAACCAGGACGTGATTGAGCGATGCGAACGAGATCATCTTGAAAATTAAACGTAACGGTACTTTCTTTCCATCGGTCTGTCTTAGGGGAAACCTATAACTTAGGCGATACGAAGTTCGCCGGGTCAGCTAGTTACTATATAGAAATTAAAATGAATATATGTTCGCTTTTGTATTCCATCAAATTCAAAATTACAAATAAATGGTTAAAGACAGATTTGGATGTGCCATCAAAAACTCTGTTCCAATTTTATATTGATTTAAAACTAAAATAATTCCATGTCAATTTATTAAAGAATGCAATAAGCACATATAGTGGACAATTTTCCTTCAACTTATATTGACACCCTTTATATATCAAATTCACAGATCATATGAAGTTTTGTTTGTGTCTGTAGGCCCACAGTTATATGTCACTATAGTACCGTAACTAAAAATTGGGTAAAATATCAGCATTTTCACTCATTTCCCTCTACGAGCTTATAATCCCAATCAGAAAATCCTCACAAGACTAATGAAGTCTATAATATTCAAAAAGTACCTACCAATGGCACATTGATGAAAAATATTTCATTGACAAACTCCAAACCCATGGTTGTCTGGCACTAACATGTTCTCAGCTGGCACAGAGTGACACTAAATGTGCATCTGTCTCTGTGACACACACACACACATACACACACACTCAGCTGGTGACTAATAAGTGGTACAGTTAACACAATGGTTAATGACCCGTGAAACAGTAAAGCACAACTATTGGCATACTGATAGAACAAACACTTGTTGAAAATTAAACCAGCTGGTTCCACTCTCTGACTTTAAAATCAGCTGATTTTTGTTAGAAGAATTTAATAATTTATTCACATTGTCTAACAACGCCCTACATCTAGTATACAGTAGTGAGAGCGGTATGAAAATGAGTAGTATGAGCACCCACGTAGTTGTCAGCAGTAAACTTGTCAAAATGAAAATTGTTTACACATATTCCAGTTTTCTATAGATATATATCGCAGCTACTTAATAGTTTATGGAAGAAATTCCTTAGATACACCATTGCAAAATATTATTTAGTAATTCTGAACTACTAGAGATTCTTGACTTTATAGCCACTCGTATAATCAAAAACCTGAATTTTAATAATTAGGCAATAATGTGCAAGGTTATGAACTGAAGATGAAAGAAAATAATAATGGAGCAGAAACAAGAGAACTGCCCGAGGATGGATTAGCACGAGGCAAAAGAGAAAACTTGGTTGATCATTGTACTGTATTGGATGATAGATTAATCAGTGGCTTTATATATGAAAATAAATTAAAAGAACTGTCGCTGCATCATTCAAAGCAATAAATTCCTAGCTTTAAGGAAATTATACGAGACTGGATCACAACAATGAAGTCGGCAGATCAAGTAAATTTAAAACAAAACACGCATTGAAAACTTAAATAAACTATATTTAGGGAAATACCTGATTTCTTCAAAGAAATTCTCAAATAAGACTTGATGTACATTTGTGTGATATTTAAAAGCAACCAGTAATGTTGGCTAAGACGTTAAACATACTTTTATAGACATTAAAGTATTTTAAATAAAAATAATACTTGATCAAAAAAATTTATGTGTATCTTATTATTTTATTATAAGACTTAGGCGATTCTTGTTTACCTTTATTATTATACTTTTTGGTACTAAAAATTCCACTAATGAAAGATTCAAAAATGTTAAATAAAATTGTGTCCAGCTATCAAAGAGTAAAAAATTAGAGCAATAAATTGTTGTATGTAGGTTCCAATAAAAATTAAGATTGCCAAAATAAAATAAAAAGAAATTAATAAGTTATAAACATTAAATAGTAAACTAACAATTATACTGTGCCGTGGGTACCTAAATAAAATACTACTTGAAGAAATATACAAAAAAGCGTTATAGAATAACTCTGAAATACAAATAGTCATAAGTTTATTATTTATTTAGCGAGGCAAGAAGCGTAAAGTTTGTAATCAGTCTCTGGGCAACAGCTGGTCGAAGGAGTTATGACGAGTCCGAGTCAAATCAATACGACCGACCGGACAGCAAATCAATGGTGATTCCTCACCAATTACTCTGCTACTTGTACCTGCCTGCTGTCGTTTCAATACTCAATCGTGAAATGTAATACTGATAGTATAGGTGTGTTAAGAAAACCAGTAAAAGTCACCAGAGAAATATAGAAAAAGACTAATCAATTTGAATTTATTATTTCAATCATGCTTTTTTGTTCAAGTAAAAATAATTTATTTACTTTGTTTAGAATGTGATTTTTACATCTAAAAAACACCTAATAACCTAATAAGCTGGTTAGTAGTTTTTTTCTGTTTACATACGCGGGCAATTTTCAACCTTTACAGGTTCATACAAACTTTTAGGAACGCTTTTGTATATTTGTTCTTTAGGTTGAAGTGATGAAAAAAAAACATCATACACACATGAATCTTGAATCTGGTCTGGTTCTCAGTCTGTCTATTTGTATGTGATTTTCACAATGTATCCATCACTTTCAAACCCCTTAAGCAATTTACTTCAAGCTTAGTTCATATGTAGTGACAGCTAGGACTAAACTTTGCACAGAATCGCTTCATAGTGTTAGAATACACCCTGTATTATAAGGGAACAAATGGAGCAGTCCAAACCTTATAAGTGCAAGGACTGTATTTATAGTGTTATTAGATGGCAAAACTGTAAACTAGGGATTGTTTCATGACATTAAATTATATTAGTTCATATTTATTTTAAACTTTTTAAAGAAGGGGAGAGGATAGGAGGTAAATTTGTTTCATACAAGCAAATAATGTCAATGATGCCAGTCTGATCCCAGCTATCAAGATACTGCAATGTTTCACTGACTTGAATTTTAACACTGAACTGACTTGTAACCCTCACGCCTGATTTTTGTCGTAATAACTTGAACTTAACACAACATACTTTAAAATACATATTTCCTGCTACAGCCAAACTTAGTCTTATATTTCCGTTCCTCTTTAGTGAACCTTAGAGAACCGCGTAGTAATAAATATAACCTGAATCTAGTACGGGTATAGCAAATTTAATCCGATTAACATGAACATATGATAGTTTAAATAGTTTGACTTTGACTAAGCATACCATGGTTATAACCAAACCAACCATAATAGTACTTTGTTGGTTTAACAAAACTTTAGCCCTCTGTACTACATTGATGGAAGTACTGTAATCATAACAAACAGTACTTCATTGGTATAAACAAACTTAGCAAACTGTACTTCATTGGTTAAACCAAACTTGGATCAGAGTACTTCATTGGTGTAACCATACTTAGCAATC